ATTTATTTCGAGTATGTATATGATCATTTTTCGCTAAAGTTCATCATTTTCCAAATAAAGGGGGTGGGCCATCTAGTTACAAAAAGCAAACCCCTCACACTTCTTCCGTCGGGCATAACTCAGAAATGGACGAGGCTATCAAAATTTTCATTTCAGTAAAAGTGGCATCAAATAAGTATTAGAATCGAACTGTACTATAAAAATATTACATTCCTATTAAAAATAACGAAGTTAGTGTCATTTCCCAGCTAGATGAGAAAGTTATGTCAAATCTGTTACCACTTAGCGATTCCTAGGCAAAATTAACTTATAGTTTGTATAAGATCATTTTTTGCCAAAGTTCACCATTTTAGAAATAAAGGGGTGGGCCTTTACAAAAAGCATACCACCCTCACGCTTCTTCCGTCGGGCCTAACTTAGAAATGGACGAGGCTATCAAAATTTTCCTTTCAGTAAAAGTGGCATAAAATAAGCTCTAGAATCGAATTGTACCATAAAAATATGGCATTCTCATTTAAAATAACAATGTTAGTGTTATTTCCCAGCTAGATGAGAAAGTTATGTTAATTCTGTTACCATCACGCGATTCCTAGCCAAAATTAACCTGGGATTTGAAATTTTTTTTACTAAAGTTAATCGTTTCCGAATTAAACGGGTGGACTAAAGAAGTTGACCCTGTATATTAAAAAAATAAATAGATAGCCTCCACCTAGTTAAGTTCACATCTGGGGGAACCCAGTAGTCTTTACTTGGTGGACGTTGGGATTAAGCAGTTTAGACACGAAAGCACCAACATTGAAATCTAACCACGGAGAAGACTTGGCAAGACGGAGGGGGACACTAGAACTACCTGATAGACTGTCAGTTCAGCGACTTCAGGAATCCAATAATTAAAACATAAAGAAAATCATAAACCAGCAAACATGCTGAGATACTAAACAAGGGTTACTAATAAAACGACACTCTTGAGATGGAGATGAATCATACTTCGTGGACGTTATAGTAAAGTTCTTTAGATGCAACAGCAACACAACTAAAATCTGATGTAGGACAAAGAATCAAGTAATAAAAAGGCTAATAATTGTCCTGCCTGGTATTCGATATTAGAACTGACTGGGATTTTTTTGTCTCTTGTACGGTTAACGAAGTATTGCCAGTATTTTGGAAGATTCTTCTTTGGTGATCATATTAAATACTAGTTATGGTGTAATTGCCTGTAAGTGTTTAACCTTGCAAAAAGCTTTGCGTTCCTTTCCACCGCAAAAAGCTCTCGACGAAGGCCTATCGCGGAGGGCGTCCTTTCATAGAAATTTCAGCTCGAAGGACGTAAACGCGATTGAAAAGTTCTGACTGATCCATTACAGGAAGGTGACAGCCCCTCCCAAGTTTGACTTGTTTTCGAAATGGAAGGCGCACTCGCTCATTTAAACCCTTGTTCGCATTAAGCCCCCAAGGGATCGTAAGTGGCAATTAACTGACAACTTTACTACTTGTTTCCCCGGTTTCTGGGTAAAGGGCTCAAGGTGTTTGGGAATTTTCAAGGGCTGTTACACCTCGCCCGTTGTCGTCTGCAAAAAAAAATACATAAAACAAAAAGGTAAATAGATTTCCTGCGAAATTTACAACTTATTTAAGATTATTTATAGAAAATATCCAACTTCTAGACACTATGAACTTGAAACGTTCCTAGAATTAGTATGAGACATTTTAAATAATTTTATAATTGAAGGTTGCACTAATTATTATGATTAATAGTCCTTTGACAGTATAACAAATAAACCAAATATTAAAAGTATACCAAGTATCTCACATATTTTGTACTTTCCCATTCAAATGAATTTTTTCTTGTGACAGTGAATCACATGGAATAACAGGTTATAAGAGGGTAAGGCGTCAAATTATAATAATTAAACCACATTGGTAATTATGGGCAGTACTTGGAATTATTTATTTTTTAAACAGAAAGAAGTGTGCAAATATGTATTATTAATTAATAATAATAATAATAAGTTTCAAATTTCTTTGCACAAAACGATATTTGTGTACCTTTGTGGACTGAGAAAACATCATGAAACACCTCGACTTTTCCTTTCTGGCGTTGAAATAAAGTAAATAAGATGTCGACGTTGTCAAATATTTGGGCGTTTCTTTCGACAAAGCCCTTCGATGGAAACCTCAAATAGCCATATTTTCTAATTCAGGAAGGAAAATACTAGATCTAATGAGATTCCACGCTAACTATAATTGGGGAGGGAATAGAGACATTCTTTTAAGAATATTCAGAATGTAACTAAGGAGCAAAGTTTAGATACGGAGCAGCAGGTTAGTCTGCAGCGCGAATATCAACTTTAAAACCGGTAGAAAGGATTTAATACCAAGGTATCAGGATTGCAACAGGGGCGTTTAGAACAAGCCCATTATAGAAGGTGTATTCTCGATCTTTATGCTAACCCTGTTAAGTCTGTTAGGTCCTGTTAGATCGAGAAAAATTATGACGTAGACTTGTAAGAATCTAACAGGCCAGAGCCAATGTTTTGGGGTTAGGTCGAAAATGTAGTCATATTGCTATCCGCTAGGGCATAAGTAACCAACATGGCAGCCATCAATTTAACAGCTGTTTTTTGTTTAGACGTATTTTTATTAAATTCACTAGTTTTCGTGGTCCGCTTGACCAATTAATTTCATTCAATTAATTAAGGTTTTTTTTAGTTGAGATAAAAATGTCAGTGTCACGAGCGGGATTTGAACCCACGACCTTCGGCTATATCTATAATATATATCTTTCACGCTAATAAATTACATTCACATATTCACACTACCCCAGAATTCTCGATATACCTAGGGGCTTAAAACAAATCTTATTTTTTCATGAATACATTTTTTTTCTTACTTCAAGCGTCATTTTATATCTGCAACTTTTTCTACACATACTTTATAATTGAACACAATTTTTCTCCACATTTTCTTTATTTTACCTTAAAAAATGACTGATGTAACAACCTTCAAATATATTCTCAACAAAAGCAGTAAAAAATTTTTTAATTACCTAAAATTGCGTATCTAAGAGATTTAAAGGGCGCTTAAAACAAATCTTATTTTTTTTTTATAAACAGCTTTTTTTGCTTACAAATGACTGATACAATAACATTGAAATCTATTCACAACAAAGACAGTAAAATATATATTTTTTAAATTACCTAAATTTTCGATCAAATTGTGTATCTAAGAGATTTAAAGGGCGTTTAAAACAAAACTTTTTTTTCATTAATAGATTTTTTTTTTCTTAATTTACTGAAAGCGCCTTTTTATATCTGTAACTTTTTCTATACATATCTTATAATTGAACACAATTCTTCTTATTTTTCTTCACTCTACTTCAAAAAAATGACTGATACAATAACTTTGAAATCTATTCACAAAAAGACAGTAAAATATATATTTTTTAAATTACCTAAATTTGCCATCAAAATGTGTATCTAAGAGATTTAAAGGTCGTTTAAAACAAAACTTTTTTTCATTAATATATTTTTTTGGTTACTTTACTGAAAGTCTTTTTATATCTGTAACTTTTTCTATACATATCTTATAATTGAACACAATTCTTCTTATTTTTCTCCACTCTACTTAAAAAAAATGACTGATACAATAACTTTGAAATCTATTCACAAAAAGACAGTAAAATATATATTTTTTAAATTACCTAAATTTGCCATCAAATTGTGTATCTAAGAGATTTAAAGGGCGTTTAAAACAAAACTTTTTTTCATTAATATATTTTTTTGGTTACTTTACTGAAAGAATCTTTTTATATCTGTAACTTTTTCTATACATCTTATAATTAAACACAATTCTTAATATTTTCTTTACTTTACATTTAAAAATGACTGATGCAATAACCTTGAAATATATTCACAACAAAGGCGATAAAATATATAATTTCTAAATTACCTAGATTTGCTAAAATATTTTTTTCTTCGCTTCTAGAGCCTTCTGATGAGAACGGTCGTACTCGTTTGTAATATTTTTCGCCCTAGTCTAACCAAAACATTTTTATTTAAAATGAAAACCGAATATATGAGAGGATCATTCCACTAATTTTGTTAAGCTGTAAGATTTAAAAAAATTCTTGTTGAATTTTTATTTTGTATGTTTTTTGGCTAATTTTTTCCTCCATCGAGAAATTAAATTGATACTCATACTACAACTTACATCGCATTTTTTTCGTATTATTTTGGAGCTTGTAGTTCGTTTTCATTTCTTCGATGATCTTGTGATAAAGGCCCGGTTTTTCCTCTCGGATCGCTTCTCCCGTTTAGGCCACACCTTCGCATGTAGGACATCTGTTGCAAAATTGTTCAGTTGCCCAATCCCCATCCTTTTTTAAAAGGTTAATTAAATTTCGTTCGCCATTTACGAACGTGTGGAAACGACTTGCAGAGAAAAACGCCCGCAGACAGGCGTTAAATTAAAGTTTAATTTCAATTACCCATTCAAGAAAGAAAATACACATGTCATAATGGTGGTCTTTGATTTTAAGACTTAAGAAATGTCTAAGTTTACTTTTTCAAACAAGCAAGGAAATTATACGCAAAATTTGAGTTTGATCTAGTTTCTGGAGGGACAATAGATAAACTATCGAAGTTGGCCAGTTACTTTCTCTGCACTTTATGAAATCTACATAATTTGATATCGAGGATAGTGAATTTTTTTTCGAGGATTTTTGTGGTCTTTGGTTTTGAATATAAGATGAGATACGGATCAAAAGACGCTTTATAAGTTGATGGAACCTGGCCCGTTTGGTTTCGCTCTTTGATTCGTGTTATTTGCCACACCTTCCAGACATCGTTGTAACGACGTTTCCTGAACGGAATCTATAAAATCGAAGAATACCCAATTGCACAATTATTCCTGACCAGGCTTGCCCAATCGGTTACAACAATTGAATGACAATGTAACCCCAAGCCGTGTGTATATATCGGCCGGGTGGCCGAAATCCGTCAGTCCCACGCTGACAACCACCCACATCATGGCTTTATTGACTGTCTGTGGTTGTATTTAAAAAAAAATACAATGTATTAATGCTTTGAATTTGCAGGTCGTTCTGAGCTTTGCACTTTTAGCGAGCAGTAGTGCAGGAGTGTTGCCGGTCGTGACGTACGGCACTTCATATTCTGCTCACAGCGTTGATCACAGTCTCGCAGCGCCCGTGGTTCCAGCAGTTCATGCAGTTCCGGCCCTTCCAGCAGTTCCAGCAGTCCCAGCAGTCCCTGCTGCTCTTCATGCTCCTTTTGCTCCTTTCAACAGCCCTGTCCTCTTCTAATCTTCTATTTTTTAATAAAAAAATAAATAAATAAAATTACTATATATCTGTTTAATTCCAACCCTTTTCATATGTCCCGTAGAATCTTTTCCCGTATAAGATTAAAGTTTAAACTTCTTTTAACAAAATTCAAAATGCGAATTTTGATGGATCTGACAGGGATTGGAGCCAATATGTGCAGTGTTGACCGTTGATATGTTCGGTATTTTGATGTTTGATGATGATGATTCAATTATATATCAATATCCTTGTAAAACACGTTAAATTTATCTGTTAAAAAAGTAAGCGGTTACAAATTTTTAAGTCTTAGGGCCAGTAAACAGCAAATATGGCAAGAAATTGATAGTATATTTTGTACAGCTCCTTATTTAAACTGAAATCTAAAACAAATTCTATATCAGAAAGATTTTATTCCTCGCATTTCTTGTATTTGTGGCAAACGTAAGACCAAATGTATTTTTTTTAAAAATTAGAAAAGTCTTTTTACAGAAATTAGCCAGCCGATGAGAAATTAAAGAAAACATGGAGACTGTAAAATAATATTTTTGAAAAAACCCTAAAAACTAACTTTCGTCAAGTTATATTCAAATTTTGACTGTATATTAAAATATACAATTTCGACAATTTTTGTCAAGATTTATTTGATTGTTTAGGAAATATTGAACTAAACGTTAACAGAGGTCAAGCAAAGCATCTGACTTTTAGGCCTTGGAGATTATCATCGAGAGATATCAATTTTCTATGAATAAATTAAGATCAAAATCTTTAAAAATTCTTTAAAATATAATAAAAATCAGTAAACAACTTAATGAGGAATAAAAGAAACAAATAATATATTTTAATTTCAATTTGAATTTATAACTCACCCTCCCCGCCAGCTAACCTAATCCTACCTCTACCTAACCTAAACAGTTTCAGCAATATTTTGGCTATGAATGAAGATTGGATTTATAAAAAATTTATTGCAGTTTAAACAAAATCTGATGATGATTTACGACATATATAGGAAATATTTTATGTAGGTACGCATGTAAATCATGTCTACTCTCTCTACTGAAATGTCACTAACACGATTTCAACAAAATTTTGGTTAGAAATTTAAATTAAATTTATAAACAGATAGGTTAATTTTAAACATAATCTGTTGATGAGTTTACCAGGTATGAACGATATGAGCTATGGAGGTACATTTATGATCCAAAACACGTTTATTCTCTGTTCAGAAATTTTACGAAAACCGACTTCAACCAAATTTAAACCATAGATTAAGGGTAAATATATAAAAAATTGCGTAAAATTTAAACAAAAGGTGTTCATAAGTTGATGAGATGTACAGGAAATATGCTATGGAGGGACACATAGTATGCAAAACACGTTTACTCTCTGGTCCAAACTTTCGCTAAACTGATTTCAACAGAATTTTGGCCCCAGATTAAGGTTTAATTTATAAACTAATTAGTCAAATTTAAACAAAATATGTTGATTATTTTGAGAGATATAAATGAAATGTTTTATGGAAATACTTTTATTTCCACTTCACAAATTAAAAAAAAAACAATTTCAACCAAATTTAAACTATAGATTAAATTCACTAATTTCGTGGTCCGCTAGACCAATTAATATATTACATTTAACTAAGGTTTTTAGTTGAGATAAAAAAGTCAATGGCACGAGCGGGATTCGAACCCACGATCTTCGGCTAGATACGACGCTGCACACGTTTACTCTCTGTTCCAAACTTTTACTAAACTGATTTCATCACGATTTTGGCTCCAGATTAAGGTTTAATGTATAAACTAATTGGTCAAATTTAAACAAAATATGTTGATTATTTTGAGAGATATAAATGAAATGTTTTATGGAAATACTTTTATTTCCAGTTCATAAATTTTACAAAAACCAATTTCAACCAAATTTAAACTATAGATTAAAATTGAATTAATAAGTTAACAATCAATATTAATATTAAGAATTCTTTCTATTTCTATGTTTTAACAAATTTTAAACGCCAACAGTTGACCTTTTGATTTTTCCTAGAAATATTCTTTACCAAAATTAAATTGATTATTTTTTTGTATTTTTTAAATATTTTATTCTACATGCTTCATACAAAATATTGAGGCGTCGTTGGCCTCAACGGTTTAGGCGTTGACACGGCGCTCATCACTGTAAGGTAAAGGTCCCGGGTTCGAATCCAGCGGCCCTGCATTCGAACCAGACATACTAACAAATGGTTTTTTTTTCAAAACCACCGGCAAAATACCTGTAAATGAAGAAAAAATGTAACAATATGCTAGAAATATCATTTATTTTTGGACTAAAAATTGCATCTCGTTTGTTGGCCAATGAAAAGAAAATAATTTTGTTTTAAAATGTTAAAATCATACCAAGGCTAATTAATTATTGGTCATATTAATTTAATATAATAAGCACAAAAAAGAGAAGATGATTTATTTGTTTGTTGACATAAAAAATAGAAAATTATTTAAAAAATATATTTTTTTTGTATTTTGACAACCTCAGAACGAACAAACTAACCGACTTTCAGATTGGTTGTCTGTTTTATCAACTTTAAACGTCAACACTTGACTTTCTGGTTTTCCTTAGAAATTCTGTTCGTCAATCATTGAGGGATAATGTAACAAACGAAATATAACTTTGATTTTTCAAAAAAATCGGCACAAAAATGAGAAATTATTTCTTTGTTGACTTACAAGAAGAAAATTATTAATTAGTAAAAAAAAAATAATTTTGGTTTTTGATAACCATACTCAGAAGTCAAATCAACAATAAAGAAAAAATATAACAATTTGCTAGAAATATAATTTATTTTTAGACAAATAACGCATCTGGTTTATTCAAAATATGTTGATTATTTCAAGAGATATAAATGAAATGTTTTATGGAAATACTTTCATTTCCAGTCCACAAATTTTACAAAAAATAATTTCAAGCAAATTTAAACTATAGATTAAAATTGAATTAATGTCAAAAGTTAACCTTTTAATTTTTCCTAGAAATACTCTTTACCAGAATTGAAATTGATTTTTTTCAGTATTTTATTCTCCATGCTTCTTCATACAAAATGTTACTTGTCATAAAATAACCATAAATATAAAATACAATGTATATACATACAGGGATATCAGATTCAAATTATAACGAAAAGATAATTACTGAAAACTGTTAAATAACAAAGAATAACGTTAACAAATAGAAATTAATTAAAAAATAAATAAGGTAAAACCTAAACAAGTAACAATAGGGTCGAAAGGACATTTATTTCCAGTCCACAAATTTTGCAAAAAACAATTTCACTCAAATTTAAACTATAGATTAAAGTTGAATTAATAAGTAATTAGTAAGTAATTATTTAATGAGTTATAAAAGAAATATGCTATGTAGGGGCACACAGGACGCAAAACGTTTACTGTCTGTTAAGAAACTTCACTGATCCGATTTCAACCAAATTTAAATTATAGAATAAGCTTATATTTATCAAGAATGTTGTCAGAATATAATAAATAAAATAATGTTTTGGTTATGAGAAATGATTGAAATGCTTATTGAAGGATTCTTCACAAAGTGATTCATGCTTGACCGTTTTAAGAAAGACCCGACCGGAACAGTTTCAAAAAATTTTGAACGATTTTGAATAAATTTAAAGATTATTCCATGGGATATAAAGGAAAAAGACGTGACAAAAGTAAAACACATCCAGCATCCCGAGGCGAATTCCAAACCGGCCGAATCCAATTTTGGGCAATCGACTTTTCGTTTTTAAAGAATTTAATCAAATTTAAACAATTGCGTAAAATTGAAACGAAATATGTTGATGACGTATGGAGGAAATAAACTTTGGATGGTTGGTAAAGCAATTCATTCTCTTTAGTCTCGATCTTGACCCTAAAGATATTTCAGATAGACTAAATGATGATTGATGATAGAAAATTGACAAAAGATTAAGTACCGTAAATGTAATTTGGAATAAAAGAAATAAATGATTTTTTATAGGGAATTTTTATGAACTAATTTTTTTTGGAACTTTATTTGTTTAATGATCTTCGGGTTTATTTTCTTGATTAAGGTTTTTTTTATTGATTAAGAAGTGAACAATTTGCTCAATTTGAGGCTCAGTTTGTCAAAGTTTCAATCAATGTCAATAATCAGTTTGATTGATGATTCATCAAAGTGTATTTTGTGGAGGGCAGTAACTAATGCCTGTTTAACCCATTGGTAATTTTTTTTTAAATTACAATTTTCTATAATAGATCAAGGTTTAAATGGTGTAAAATTGTGCCAAGTTTTAAACCAATTATGGCGAATAGCGAGTCGTAAATACATTTCAGGTGTACAATTTTCGAGGGCGGACGCCCCTCCTTTTCCAAACCTTCAAAAACTGCCACATCTGTGTAAAATTCAGAAATTGAATTATTATTGAATTTGTTTAATTTTTTTTTGGAAGTATTAAGTTATTTCTTTTTATTAAAAAAATAAAAATCCGAGTTAAAGGGTTAATAAAAATGGATCCTTCGGACTACGGCGTCTCAGGCAAATTTGAGCCAATTTTGGCCCCGATTTGACAAGATTTTTGGTTGAAATTGTTCATTTTTTTTAAACTTGAATATTTTTAATTTCACTCAACCCTTAAAACGGTTCAGTTTAGCACATATGAAACACGGCCTTTTGCAAAATCCGTCATCCGTCGCAGAACCGGGTGGCCATGACTTTTCAGCAGGTTTCTTGTGTTCTAGTTAGAAGCGAGTTGTTTTTCTGTGTTTTATATACAATTTATATATACATATCGAAACGCTATTGTCTTCCGACGTAATACTTTACGATCTCAGGTCCAGGTCGTGGGTGTGGTGAAAAACGTGTATGTTGCACAAGGCAGTTTGTAAATTTCCAACGACAAAAAACGATGGTGAGGTTAAAACAGTTTCAACATATTAATATAACAGCAATTTCGAATAACGAAATAAAAATAAAAATTAAGAATCTGAGGTA